ACTTTCCCTACCCTTTAGCCCTTTTCTTCCTATTTCACATTGTCAATATCTCATTAGGCTCTTGTGTACTATTATGGTTTTTCACACCAGAGAAACTTAGACAACCACCTTCTTAAAATTAACAATAAGATGGTAGGGAAGGTATTGACTTCATACTCCTCTGTGGGGGGGGCAAGGGTCGGGTGTTTGTGTTGGTGGAAATATATTGATATGAAATAACAATACACTAAAATTAAACATCCTGTATTTCATTTTATTATAAAGATATGAAGTCTTAATACATTCTCTGGATCTATGGATAGTGAGATAACAGGTTTGTCTTTCAAAGAACCTGAGGATAGATACAGGTTCACATCCTTTCAGGTATTAATTGTGTCACTGAACACACTGCCATAAATCTGTAGTGTCAAGATTGAAACACAAAATTTAAGAAACTTTATAGTTCAAACTTGTAGTAAATATACCCTAAAAATGGCATTATTCTTACAGGTATTTTTCTTTATGAAAAAAATTAGGGTAATGATGTTTCTATATGTCACATTTTTTAATTACAGAGAAGGATTTGCCTGGTAATAATTAGCATGATGAGCAATAAAAGGAAGTGTTGGTGTATCAATTTACCATTGCTAAGGCATTGGAAATGTGATAAACCACTTTTTATCCTGAATCTATTCTCACTGTGAAGAAATCACAATTTCATTTAATGATGTACTGTGAAGCTATTTCTTGCTACTTAGTTACTGAAACCAACATTTTCAACTACCATAGATTTTCTAGGTCAATGTTTCCCTAACTGTAGCTGCATCAGAAATACTTGCAGGGTTGTTAAAACACAGATTGCTGGGCTTCATGCCCAGAACTTCTGATTTAGAAGACAAGAGCTGAGACCCCACATGTCTAACTAGTGCTAAGGTGATCCAAAAACCAAAGAGAACTTCTTAGTTTGATCTGATCACATTATTTTTGGTGATCCTGGGGATTGAGCCTGGGCCTTCACCGTGAGCTACGTGCCCTTGATAAGTCACTAAATTGCTCAGGCTGGATTCAGACTTGAGAATCTCCTGCCTCAGCCTTTCTGTTTATCAAAATGGCAAAAGTGTATAGAAATAAGTAATATGTGTAATAGCTTATGTGTAATAGCCCAAATCTGCTTTGCCATGAGAAATAATGACTTATGAGAAGGATTGCTTTTAGTGAAATATTTCTTATATGTATTAAAATACAGGAAACTTAAGAAAACAAAACAAAATATAAAACCGTCCTAAACAGATTTGAAAATTTTTAATGAATATTACAAAGCAATATTTGCTAGACAAACAAAACCTTATTAACTATTATTTTGTTCTCACTTTTCTCTAATTACCCGAATTCCACTTGCTCTAAAGAATTAATCACTTTTCCCTCTCCATGCTCAGCCCTGCCCAAAGTAGCCTTTAGCTGGGTTTCTTAAGTATCTTTTAAATTAAATGCACTACAAGGCCTTTCTAATTCAATACCTCCATTTACAAGTTTGTCCATATTCTATCAAATTTAAGATGACACTAAGCTATGGGACATCTAATATGTTAAACAATTTAACTAGGACTCAAAAGAAAAACAGGTAACATAGAGGCTTTGCAAATGAATGATGTGCCTTTGGTAGGTATGGCAATCTGACTCCTGTCTGTCCCTTAGTCAGATGTCATGTGCCAGGTATAACACGACCGGTGTGTGGTTCCAATCCCAACTCCAAAACTCTACAGAATGTGGCGGGGGGGGGGGGGGGCAAGTGATTTGTGGCTTGGTAGGTGACTGTTACTCAGTGCTAGTCAATGATCTTAAGTGATTACCCATAAACACTATGAGAACCTTACTTTTTAGTAGAAGCACAGGGTAGTTGCAACTCACAGCCTTTTCAGACCTGCTCAAGGTACCAACTATTCTACTCATTTGGAAAAAGAAAATGCATTAAACTAATATCTGTGTATTTAGTAAAACAAGTGATACCCATCCTTAGGAAAGAATAAGAAATTGTCAAACTGAATTGATATCAAAATAATCTGTGAACAAAGGTATATTGATCTGGACAGAGAAGTATGACAAAATGCTGTATTCTTCATAATTCGGGTATAGAATTGCATCCCTTTGACTCTAGCTTCTAAATTAAAGCTTACAGAGTTTTCAATAACTTGCATTTTCAATGTTATTGCAAGGGAGGTTGAGAGAGAAATTATTCTTTACTGAACAATGGAAATCATCCTATCTCATCTATTCAGTCACTAGTATCCAATAACAGTCTTAAATAGAGGTGCCACTTAATTTATCTGTATCCAAACATTTCATATTCTCTCAGTGCAATGGATAAGCTATGTTATTAGAACACTTAAATTAAAACTTATTCCTGGATTTTTTTTTTAATCTTATAAAGCAAGCTCACCCGTTTAACACTTCGAAAACACCACCTCTCTGTTCACGAGCATTTCGATAATTCTGGCCTTTCCCTTTCCGCAGATGCAAATGCAGAGACCTCCACGCTTAAGCACGAACACTTCCGCTTTATAATGTGCATATCCAAGCACTGACATTAATGCCGTATCAAGGGTTTTCAATGGGCAGGGTAATCTGTGATAGCAAAATTGTATCCCTTCCTTCCTGCAATTACCTCAATACCCTTCCAGCCTTGACATCTGGAGACCCACTGCTACTGTAGCAGCTGTGATTCCTGTCCCAGGGCAGGAAGTTAAGTACAGGTTCCAAAGAGCCCTAATTGTTTTGATGTTTTGCAGCAGCTCAGAAAAGCTTGGCTATTGGAGAGCACTGTCTTTGATTACTAACCCCACTCTGGCACTGTACACAGATATACAGTGTTTCACCATCTGATCCATGGTGTCAGATTAGAGCGGTTGGACATTGCCTTCTCTTGTGGTCATGTTCCAAATGTGACCATTTTCAATGCGACGTACATCAGAGAATTAAACCTCACTGAGCACATGTTCACAGTACCCTTCATGTTTTCCTTAGTGATTTTATTTTTGCCTCCTTGCCTCAAATGACCACAATAGAGGGTAGCTTCCCCAAATATATACTCCTATTTGCATTGCTGAAAGCAAATCAGTTACTTCACATTAGATAGCATTGGAAGAATCATTATGCTTTGTAGTTGCTCACGGAGTGTATCAGAGCAATTTTCAGACACCTGTCAATTTTGTAGAAATCAAAAGACTTCCAAAAGCAGGACAGAGTTAAGTTCCTGGCAATCGCAATTGTCCTTTTGCTTCACTAAATATCTGAGGCTATTTTGTGACTTGGAACTGATAAAATTTATAAATTGTTTATGTAGATTGCTTGCTTGCTTTAAAAGTAACCAGAAAAGAATACTGATGGATTGACTGTTAAATTTACATTTTAAATGGCTATAAAATATTATCCTCATCTTAAGAGCATTAGTGTTTGCTGTTCATCAAATTAAGAATAAAATGGATTTTACTAATGCTCTACAATTACTCTGTTAACCAAATTATTGCAAATGATCTCCTAAAATCTAAACTATTTTGCTCCAGAAAAGATTGAGATTCATGGTTTCACGTCATCACTCTGCAAAAAACACGATTATATACAATTTTTATTTAGTTACAGATTTTATTTTTTATTTCTATTTTTCTTCTCACCCACATTTGCTCTATAATATGGCAATATTCTCCCTTGTATAGTATTTCCCTGATTTTCCATTTAATTTACTATTTCTCTGCACTTAGTTATTTAATTTAAATTTTACATTCATAATGATTAAACCCCAAATTCTCATTGTCTCCCTCTCCTCCCTCGTAACTTATCAGTAAATTTCAAATGCTTTAAAAAGCTTATGACTTTTATTCAGTGATTCTGATATCTAATATCCTTTTCTGGCTAGAGAATATTCAGTACTACATTTGTGACATTTTTATGGAATTGATTCTATGTGTGCTTAAGTATTTTGTCAGTTCTAGCTAACTGTTCCTATGATACCCAGAATATACTATAAATTCTTCTAATATCTTGCATTATATACTGAGGGTTTAAATAACCATAAAAGAATATTTGTTTAGATAGAGGCTGGTTTGTTTATTTTTACTGCTTCAGAAAATCTCACTAGGGAATCTGCCTGGGGCTGATACTTGTAATCATTAACAATTATGTTTTCCAGAAAGATTCAGATATGAATTTTTAAGAAGCCATTTCAAAATCAAATACAAAATATATGAAACCT